GTGTAATTTTAATATGACGACGTGAGTAGACAAACAATGCTTGGCCGGGCTCAGCGTTTGAAAATGCATTCTCCAATGGTCTTTTTCTAATCTAAAAAAACTCTCTGTATCTTGAGAGATACTGTATTCATGTTTAAATTATTCAATTCTAATATAAAAATTAATTTAACTTTTAATTTCATTATAAATATAAAATTTAACCTATTTTATTTCTCATATTTATTTTTTAAAATAATCTTTCTAATAGTTGTACATGTTAAAAATTTAATCAAATAATAGTTCTAATTAATTACATAATTAATAAAGATATTTTTGAGAAAATAATATTTATTTATTATAAATAACTAATTAACAGTTTTTTTAATATATTTAAATTATTTAACTAACTTTTATATTAAACACGAGAGGGAGGTAGTAGTTATATGTGTGGACAAAAACTGTCTGTATCGACTTGTGGTGATATTCATAGTATTGAATTAATTTTTACCTCTATTTTTGGCTTTTTTATGCTTAAGTTCGCCCACATTTTTCGATACCTAAAAAGGAAAAATAAATAAATCTGTTATCAGCAGTTAACTTATTTCTTAAAATTATTAAGTATAAGAAGATATTTAGTTTTGATCCAGTTTTCCTGTCTTTATTCAAAACTTTTGGAAGTTGAATATATATTAATTGAGAACAACTCGAATCACACCTAACATGTATAAGAAAATAAACTTTACAAAAAGGGTGGCGAACAGATGCAATCCATCCAGGTCAAAAAAAAAAAAAACAGATGCAATCCAAGGATTTGATGCAGAAACTGCGAAATCCTTGATTAATGAGAGGGAGACAAGGATTAAAGATGGGAGTTTTGAGGAAACAATTTCCCAATACAAGAAAAATGCTTCCCCCCACTTGTCTTCTACAAATTAGATTCGAAACATTGATTTTTCCCATAGGTACCACATTTCGCCTCTCTTCAATATATCCTCTGCTGCATCCATCTCTTTTACGTGAGTTCTCATGCATCAATGGCGTCCATATAACCTCCAGAAAGGCCAAGATATTCGTGCCTGTGAAGCCATGTTCCATCTTTCTCGCTCCCTCTCTACCTCTTTCTCTTTCTCTGCTGTTCTGTGCCTGCGTTAAATTGGTGGCTATGCCCTCCTCAAAAAAAAATCAATCATGAATGGCTGAACGTTTGATCATATATACAACCTCGCATGCCCCGCAAGCAAACCCAACTTGAAGAACTAAGCTATATTGACATGTGGACTTTTTAGACTTGTACTTCCTCTATCCTCCTAATGGCTTCATTTAAGTTAATTCGTTGCTCAGGGTTACTTTCGGTGCAAGCGGCTCCGACTTGGAGAATTTTCAGCATTTGATCTAAGGAGTTAGGGGTGTTTGCCATTTCAGGATCAATCACTTCTGCTTCTCTTCTCTCAGAAATTGCAGCGAGCACCCATTGCACGACGTCGGTGCCGCCCTTCCCGTTGCTATGATACTGAGAAGGGAATTTTCCGGTGAGGATCTCCAGGATGATGATTCCGAGGCAGTAGACGTCGACTTTCTGGGAAATTAGCTGGTGCTGAACGTAGTCTGGGGATTTGAAGGCGAATAATGCGTTGAAAGAATTGGGGTTGAGAAGCGGATGCAAGGCGTAATCAGAGAGGAGTGGCTCGTAATCTTGTGTGAGGAGGACATTGCTGGATTTCAAGTTGCCGTGGGGAAGATCGTAGGAAGAGAAGTGGGAATGAAGGAAGCGAAGACCTTGTGCAATTCCCTTGATTATCTTCAAACGCACGGGCCAGGTCAGATCAGCATGAGATGTTCCCCGATCACCTGAAACATAATGATCAAAGATTCTCGATCAAATGGGGTTACTATATATATATATATATATATATATATATATTGTTGAAATCCTGGTATGATCTGTTTGGTGCGTTTGAGTTGAGCTAGTACCATGCAAAACATATAACAAACTGCCTCTGGGCATGTACTCTGAGATGATGAGCTTCTCTTCTTTGCGAAAGTGGTATGCCAAAATGGTCAAGATGTTTGCATGTTTAATTCTCCCAAAGCCTCTCATCTCGGCGTCGAAAAAATCTCTACCTATCTGATTTATCGCTCTCACCCTCTTCACCACCACACTTAACCCGTTCGACATGGCCGCTTTATATGCCGATCCCAATGATCCGTTTCCAAGAACCTCCGCGGCCGCCTTCATCAAGTCCGGCAACCCAAACACGCCCTTCTCCTCATTCACCACCACCAGATCCGCGTTCCCGCTCTTGGGCACGCCCCTCTTTGAACCCGTCCCCCTCCGGCTCGAATCCGATTCTCTGCTTTCGGTTGAGCTCCCCACGTGCACTTGCACCACCTCGTCCACGCTATCTCTGCTCAGCACGCTGAAGTCGCCGTCTAGACGGCGCCTTGACCTAACCACTAAGAACAGCGCGACTGCGATGATCAAGCAGACGATGAAGAGGATGATCAACATGACGTGGCCGGAAGAATTTTTACTCTCGCCCTGCTGGTCGCACGCCTTGTCTAGAGGTTTCCCGCATAGCCCCTCGTTTCCCTTGAAGGAATTAGCCTCGAATTTGCTAAGCTCTCTGGGATTGGACCTTCAAGGTTGTTGTTGGACATGTCCAGCGATTTGATGCTTTGCGACAGAGGTGGGATGGGTCCGGAAAATTCATTGTTCTCGAGGTGAATCTCTAGGAGCATGTCTAGCTGGGATATGGAATTGGGGATGGGCCCCGAGAATTTATTCTCAGAAAGCCAGATTTTCTTCAGTGAGTTCAAATAGGAGAAGAAATCCGAGGGAATCTCCCCTGAAAATTGGTTGGTTGATAAGTATAAAGCCTTGAGAGCACCGATTTTGTTGAACTCTGGAATAGGACCCGAGAAGGAATTGTTGACTAAGCTGACGGTTCGAAGGCCTTTAATCTCCAGCATAGCGTCAATGTCGATCTTGCCGGAAAGACCCATGTCGGAAAGGTGGAGACCGATGATGGTGTTGTTGTCGCACATGATGCCGGCCCACCGGCAGGGGGAGGAATTAGGGACCCAGGAAGACAGAGAAGCAGAATTGGTGAAAGATTGCTTGAGCTTGAGGAGGGCGTCGGTGTCGGAAGAAGAAGAGAGAGAAGGAAGAGTGAGGAGGAGGAAGAGGAAGAAAAGGGAGAGTCGAACAGCGGCCATTTCAGAGGTATAGAGGTTGGTTGTGGGCATTGAAATGTACCGCTGCCCGAAGAGATTCTACTTCTGTGAGGGTTTTGGTTGACTTGCGTTTTTTGTTTTGTTGGAATGAAAGGGGAAGCCAAAGAAAGTTGCGTCATTTTGGTGTGCTGCGTCTGGCCATGGACACCACATTGATCCTGAAGCTCCCAAAATTTGCATCGCCTTCTAAAAATAGCCTATTCCCTCTAAGGCCATCCTTCCTCTGCTTCCGACATTCCTGGACTTGCAGAAATTTTGTAGATATGTTGTGCCATTAGCAAATGAGGAGTCTTCGCGGAGTAGCATCATGCACATTGCACAATCACCAAGAAAACAGAACGGCTCTTCCACCCTTAACGCTAATTTCGATTTGACGTGAAGTCTGCCCGCGAAAATTAGAGTAAAATCACCCTTGATATTTATTAACACATCCGAAAAATTGAAGCGCCAACTAAAAGAAAAAAATTTAAAAATATTAAATTATTTTTCACTAAACTCTACATTCTCTCCTACCATATCCTTTAATTATCTCATTGTGTAGGTTCTGGCCAAAAAAAAAAAATTTATCTCATTATGTAGGAAAATAATAATCAAGATTTATTTGAATTAATTTAAAAAATTGAATTTAAAGTCATAAAAAATGTAATTAAATAAATTATATTACATTAATAACCAACATTAATTCATTTATTTTTCCCCATCATTTTTAATTAACAAAACTCTTTTTTGAACTTCTATGATAATTAGGGGACGTAAAACTATACTCTAATATGACCAGAAGTGATTGGATTAACTTTTTAAAAATAATTTTATAAAACTTGATATAAATATGTAAGAGAATTTTTGTTTGTGAAAATACTTTTTAAATTTCCAAACATTTGTAAATATATCTGTCGCGATTTGAAATGGGAAGCAGCGCACATATTTTCAAATGTCAGCAAATTTTATATCCATGTAATTCTTTTTCTCATAATACAATTATGAGTGGAACATGAAACTCTGTTGATCGCAGTGTAAAGGTAAAGAATAATAACAATTACATTCCAACTCTGAAATGTTCAAAGCCTGTCGGTGCAAATATAATGTTGTGGTTAGAATAATACAGTGTTGTCGCATACAAGGAGTTTTCAAGGAGCAAAGCATTATGCAATAGCATGCGATCGCCGAGGAAACAGATCGCCTCTTCAATCCTTGACGCTAATTTGACGTGAAAGCCTGCACGTGGAAAATTATGTTCACATCCATTCACTCACATCATTCAAGCTTTAAGCATTCAATTAAAAAAACAAATAATCATTTATGAACTCCTCTTATCTTATTTACAAGTCATTTTTAACCTATCACACCAAAACCAATAAAAATCTTGAATCCCACCAACTCTGTCTTATTAAAATTTAATAACTTTCAAATTTTGCTTTTATTTAATGTACATTGTGCTTCATGAGTATAAAATCAACACATGATAAATGACGGGTCATAATGTAACTTAAAAATAGGATGAAAAAAACTGTCATCCTACCTTATAATCAAGACGAGAGAGTATACTACAAATGAATCTATTCGTGTATCTATATACTATTTTCTTGACATATACAGGCCGAGAGACAAGACAGTGCATAGTGCGGTAATCAAATGAATTAGAATGAAAGGAGCAATAAGAACGCATTACCGAGAAAATGTTGGCATGGCCAGGGTCCGCAACATGTGCCATCAAGTTTTCAATAGGGCCTTCGCCTGTATAAATAGCTTGGAACAAGAACCCTACAAAAGCCAGCATGGCCAGTCGACCGTTCTTGATCTCCTTGGTCCTCAGCACCATCACTGGCTCCGGCGATCCTCGTCCCCACATCATCGGGTCGAACCATAATCCCCCCGGGTACCCCACGTCCGGCTTCGGATTCTTCTTGTGCGGTACCTTGGGCTCAATGTCAACACTCCCTGGGTTAATCATATCGGCCCATCTCCTGCCCTCCACCCAGCCCATCAAGCCCAATTGCACCACAAGCAACGTCGTAGGGTCAGCAAAATATTCTCGAGCACCAGCATCGTACCAGGAGAAGTTCTCAATGTATCCCATCTTTTCTAATACTTCTGGGATCAGAATTCCCGATACCCCCAGCATTGCCCATCTCGCATGCATCAATTCTGCTTGAGCGAACCATTTTAGTAACTCTGGATCCGACCCTGAGAGATTTGAAGCTTGTTAATGGCAGAAACTAATCCCTGTAAATTTCTCGCCTAATCCAGCATAATGAAACACATACCTAATCCAAGAGGGTCGAAACCGAAATCTCCAGGAAGACTGTGATTGGCATGAAAATAAGAAACTTTGATATCTCAAGAACATGTCCTAGGAATTAGGAAAACTCTGAAACTAAACGTTGTATCTCATCAGCAAGTTAGATTACCTGCCATCGAGCCACTCGGGAGGTGAACTACCGGGAAACCACAATGGCCTATCCGGAGGAAGTGGCTCACAAACGCTTGATACTCCTTTCGTGGCACCGGGGATAAATTTTCTGGGAAGGCTTGTTGCTTTTCTTCCCAGGAAGATCTTCTGGTGTATTTCTCTGTACCAAAACTAGATACGTTACAACAGAATGAGAGCGCAGAGGATGGTTTAAATGGTAGGCCCATCAAAATTTTAGGGATTGAATAAAGACCTGTTAGGAAAAGTTGACAGTGCCGTGGGGGATATGGCTAAGGCCATGGATCATCAACCTGAAATGTGCAGAGTTTAGTAAGAACAAGCTAAGGTTCTACTTTCAGTTGGCGATGGTTTATCTGCTAACTGGGTGATGGATATTTCTTGGAACAAAGGGGAGCAAGCACAAGCCAATGGCATGTGAAGTTGGCACGTGCTTAGGATACGTGAGTATGGGTCTTTTTGTCACGACCCAGATGAGGCCCAAAAAGAAATTGCTTCGCTTTCTTTGATCTCGTTGTAAGCCCAAATATAGTTATTCCAAAAAATTGGAGGCCAGCTTGAAATTGATTTCCTCTGGGTGTTCGGCCCAAAAGATGATTGCTATCAGTTAGTATCTGACGAGGATTAGTATTGAACGATGTTTCAGAGAAATCGAATCGGTAAATAACTAATAATTTTGTCACTCAGAAAAAAAAAACTAATAATTTTGTGGCTGAATTGAGGAGTTGAGACTTTTTTGGTCAATACAATGATTAGTAGGGTGATGATATTTTAATTTTGTGTTTTGTTGGCTGATAGTGGACATATATAATTTTTAAGGAAGAGATTTGGACAATGATATTATTATTAAGACGTTAGGTAAGTATGTTAACGTTTGAGTTTGAGAGGAATTGAGCTCAATTTTGTACTTGTTCTGATAAGAACTCGCCACCAGCTCACCCACTCCATTATATATTGCTTCGTGTCACCGCAATACACACGGCCTTTTTCATAAGCAGTTCAGCTATATTGTTATAAATCCTCTGAATATATATATATTTATATATATTGCATAAGAATTCGAAGCGGAAAGGCATTTTTGGTGACAATTATAATATTCATTTGTTTATATTCTCAAACATAACTTTGACCTTCGCTTTCGACATCCGCAATAAAATATAGGGTATTAAATTTCTAAGGAAGACAGGACGAGTTGGCGAACAAATCATTGAGGGGAAGCTTCATTAATTAGTTCGTCCACTGACCGGTAGTTTTGGTGAAGCAAGAGCCAATGGATAGTATTTGTTAACAAAACAATATTAATGATAGTAACTGGAAATTTAAAAGTGGACGACGACTTAAACATGAAGATTTGAGAAATAAGAATACTTTTACAAGGAGATAACACGTGTAAGAAAATACTAAAAGCTTAGTCATGGAGACTTCTCAACCAGAGATTCTAATGATTTGCTCGACAAGGCAGGGACTCTATATATGAGTAACCTCGTTGGCTTTCTTTGTTCGAAACAGAAAAGAGAACAATGAGCAGACGCAGAATTAATCCATACATATGATCACTTACTAATTGATGTCCTCTTTCATGCCTCGCGGAAATGGCTTCTGGACCTGAGCTCATATTATCTGCTTTCCGGGACCATCAACAGCTTAATCAGAATCATTTTGACCATCTTCTTCTTTTTTTTTGGGGGGGGGGGGTTTGTTTTTATATTCTACTGATGTGACTCAGACACAAGTTGTGAGTTTACGCCAGCAATGAGGACTTATGAAATAAACTGACCTTAATTATTATATCTGGTACTTAATATAAGATCTTTTGATTTTTATTTTGATCATAAATATAAAATCTTAATCCACTTTGCGTCTCATGTTTATGCACTTCTAACCAATACACTTGATTAATAAAGATATTTTAGAAAAGACAACACATATTTATTATAAACAACTAACTTAACTTATTTTCTTAATATACTCTAATTAGTCAACTAACTCTTATATTTAGAATCGGAGTTAGTAGTAGATAAGGAAAGACTATTTGGGAGTTCACCAAAAACAAGGGACTACTTGGGATTTTAAAGTATTTATGCATGTGTTTTTTATTTGTATGCATATTTAATACACATAATAATTTGATACAGCTGATTGTGTATGGTTTATGTGTCACAAGATACATGACCGGGTAGAGGGACAGGGACTTAAGGAGCCGGTGCATTCTAAACTTACAATGACACAGCAGATCAGATGCGCCACAAGAGAGAGAGAAATAGTTGGGTAATTGTGATTGATGGAAGGAGCCAACTGGTTTCGAAAAATACCACCTCCCCTCGTTGATGTTGATATGAAAATTAGCTGAGAGATCAGATTTGATCATAAATATAAATATAAGATTTTAATACTTATAAACTGATCTGCTCTATGATATAATGCTGTACAGGAGTATTTTAAAAAAATTATCTCACGTTTATTACAATTAAATATTTGAATTGATTTTCTTGAATTACTCAAATTAATAAACTAGTTTTTATATTAAAGATTAGAAGGAGTAATATTCTGGGAA